ATTACACAACAACACAGCACAGGTGTATAGTAAAGGTCTGGCCAACTTATCTACAAGTTGGATTTATGATCCAACTCTTTACAATACTTCAATTTAACACAGTGAGCATGTATCTTTTCTTCAGTTAAGCTTAAAGGGTGATGTTACTGCTATCTTTACCAGGTAAATCATTAAACTTTGAAAATCCCTCCAGAGTAGGCTACACTAATTTATGACAACTTTTTTAGAACCTAAGACTTAAGGGATTTCTTCCGATAATAAAACAATTCAACCAACCATTTACACTCTCAAATACCAGTGCTAGTTTCAAAACTCCCATATCAGTCAGGATGTTGTGTACAGTGAGATTATATGACATAAGAACTAGACTCTATGGCTTTTCCTGCATGGTTCATTGTTTTATCTTCTTCCTCAGATTCGTGTCGCCTCCAGGCTCAATGCCAAGACAGTCCTTGACATCGACAACGCAAAACTGGCTGCTGATGATTTCAAAATGAAGTGAGTGTCCTCTCTTTCTGTCCATGCCCCCTGCCCCTCTCTCCCCTGTCACATAAGTGAAACTTGACATTGCACATCCAAGTGGTAACTTATGTCTTACTGATGAATTCTAATCTTTACGAGCCACTGAACCTCTCTGACCTTTCTGTCCGTCTTCCCTGTGTGTGTTGCCCCCTCTCCTCAGGTATGAAAACGAACTGGCCATGAGGATGGCTGTGGAGGCGGACATTGCTGGACTGAAGCGGGTGCTGGATGAAATGAATATGGCCAAGATGGATCTGGAGAGTCAGTACGAGGCACTGAAGGACGAGCTCATCATGCTCAAGAGGAACCACGAAGAGGTGAGATGAGAGACGGCCGGTCGGGTGCGCCGATTTCAACCTGCTGAGGTTTTTCAAGCGTGGCTTTACACACAGTTTACATCATCATCACGTAATGTATCCCTACACACAGGCCAACACACACCCTGTGTAAGCACATGACTTGAAAGTATGCTACACTCACACTGGTGATTGATTAAATGGTCAACACCATCGATCTTTTCAGCTGCAGAGAGATAAATACACCATCTATTTACCGTAATCCTGGTTTCAACTGGTCACAATTCATTCAAATGACCCCTGGCCTACCTCTGATAACACTGATAAGACTGAGGAAACACCATGTTAGGTTAGGCTTAAATAAACACGTCTGCCGCCTTCAGTCTTTTCCCAAAGCTGCCCTGCTTCTCTCTGCACACTTCCTTGTATTCTTCTCTCTATCCCTTAGCTCATTGCTTCTGTTTTTCCAACAAACAGAACAGAAACACTGGACACACACACACACACACACACACACACACACACATACACACAGTTAAAGCAGCTACTGCTGTTATAATAATACAACTATATAAAGGTTATTGAGTTCTTCCAGTGCCTAATCAAGTTGTTTCTCCTGTCACCCATGCAGGAGATGGTTCTGATGAGGGGTCAAATCGGAGGCCAGGTCAATGTGTCCGTGGACGCTTCTCCCTCTCCAGACCTGAACAAGGTTATGACAGACATCAGAGAACACTACGAGGGAGCGATCAACAAGAACCGCAAGGACCTTGAGTCCTGGTACCAGAACAAGGTGAGACGTCACAACGGTCGCTACTCAATTCATTTATGGGTCAAGGTACTTGATATTCGTGGTTAACACGTGCCATGTTGTGTCCAGATTGCAGCAGTGGAGCAGGAAGTGATCACAAACACAGAGTTCCTGACATCATCCCGCACGGAGATCAGGGACCTGAAGAGCACCCTCCAGAAGCTTCAGATCGAACTCCAGTCCCATTTGAGCATGGTATGTCAACATTATAAACATATAAAGATTGATTATGTACTGGGGTTGACACTGATACTATATTTTCAAGATGACTTGGATTTGTAGCTTTCAATGTATGGTTATAGAAACAGTAGGTTCAAATATAAGGTGGATAAAGAGTTTGACATTTTGTGAAATATACTGTTTTGGTTTGTTGCCAAGAGCTAGATGAGAAAGTTGATGCCTTGCTCATATCTGGGATTTAGATGAAGCCTCTGCCAGTTAGCCACCTAGCTTAGTTTAGCATAAAGACTACCATCGGTGCACAAGACTCCAGGAAGTGGGCATGGCTGAATACAAGTCTTTGTAACCCACAAAACCACTACAATACTTTGTATGAATTAAAAGAAAAAAACAAAAGGCATCTATTTGTTAGCATTAGCGGTGCTGGCAGAAGATTTTGTTAACTTTTTTGACTTGGCCAGGTCAGCTGGTTACAGTAATTAAGCAAATTTGCTGCAGGTTTTAGCTTTATTGACTTATTTACAAGAAAGCAGATAAGGGCACACGAACAGATGGCGTTTGCTAAACACTTCTATCAACAGTTCTTTAAGATTTTTACATGCACACTGTCATGTAATATTCCTTAATATATAATTACCTGTTTCCTCTGACCCAAACAGAAATCGTCTCTGGAGAACACCCTGGCAGAGACTCAGGCTCGCTATGCCGCCCAGCTTGCCAGCCTCCAGGCCATGGTCACAAGCCTGGAGAATCAGCTGTCCCAGATCCACGCAAACATCTCCAGCAACAAGCAAGATTATGACATGCTGCTGGACCTCAAGACCCGACTGGAGCTGGAGATCGCAGAGTACAGGAGGCTGCTGGATGGGGAGGATGATAGGTGAGACCTGACGGAGAGAAACATGTGATAGAGAAAAGTTTGAAAATGAGACAAATGATATTGATGTAGATATGTTCCAAACTAATGTTTTCTTCTTTTTCTTTCCATCATTACCAGCACCAGACAAGGTAAACATTTTTTAACAACTTATTATTCTTATTTTATCTTTAAAATGAACCTGATGTGTCTAAAATGTCTGAGATTTGCTCATGATTGTTGTTTCCTTCCTTTCTTTCTTTCAGTGGTCACAAAAGTCATCACGGTGGTGGAGACAGTTGTGGATGGAAAGGTGGTCGGCACCAGCAAGACTGTTGATGTGGATGTGGATGAGATTGAGTGAAAAATTGGAAGCAATGGCAAAAATCAATAAAAATCCTGCAGTTGAATCGAAGTTTCTGGTGTCATTTAATTCTATAATGAACACATCTCTCGGTTGGTCCCTCACTGATGAATTATGAGTGATTGAGTGCCCAGATGCTTTTCTCAAGAGTTCATTTAAATCATAGACTGTAAAGTAAGACAACATGACAGTTCCTCCAAACCTTGTTGATTTCCCTCTGGTGGCTGTCTACAGAATAGGTTATAAACTATACCTCCTCAATGTTAGCAGATGGGACATAGACCAAATTAAGTCAAATACATTTTTCCTGAAGATCTTTTTTCTTTCTGTCATTTCAGGGAGTTCTTATCACATCGATGAATGTACAAGGGTCCATGTTTCTGATAAGTTTGGTATCAGGTATTTGATGCTTTGAAAATGGTGTGATGTCATGATTGACAGTTGAGACTGAATCACTGGGATTGGTTAAGAGCATGGATTGGCAGGACTTTGATGCTGCAGCTCCACACAACGATTACAACTGTGCAGTAGTAATCTGGCTCCAAATAACTAAACAACTGAATAAATCATAAGCACAAAATGGCTGCACCCGTATCAAGGATATTTTGGCTTAATTCTTGCTGAACTGGAGGGAGTGGACACTTGTTTATCTTTTTATGTAGTCTATGATGTAGATCAAAGCAGAGCTAAAAGGCAAGAAACAGAACATTTACATTGATTACGAAGATATACGGTTCAAGTGGGATTATAATGTTGCACCTTTTCTGCAGGATGCAAATACATTGTTTGCCAACGCATCAGCCATGACAATCACTGGGATCATGTGCTTGTGAGCTACATTCTGCTGTCCCATGGAGCTGCAGTAGTAGGGCAGTGTAATTAGGCTAAGGCATTGCATGTCAGCATTCTTGTCACTATATCTTAGTGGCCATCATCGGTATTGCAACAAAAAAAATACTCTGCACCTTCCACCTCTGGACCAAGGTTATTATAGCTTTGAAATTTTCATTAGTTTTTATTTTTATTTAGTTTTTCAGTTTGTGTTTTTATTTCAGTTTAGTTTTAATTAGTTCAACAAGTGATTTTGTAGTTTTAGTTTAGTTTTTATTTTGAGGAATCGACTAGTTTCAGTTTAGTTTTTATTTAGTTTTAGTTTTTCCAGGTATTAAGCGAAAGCCTTGACTTGTAGAAGCTGAAAATGGATGAAACAATGTGTAACACCAAATATGGTTTATCATGTCCTTTAATTTCATTCTTTAACCATCACCTGCAGGACAGGCAGTAATTGAGGGAGAAAACGAAAACAAAGCTGAATTTATCTGCAATTCAGTTTAGTTTTAGTTAGTTTTGCATTGTTCATTGCAGTTTTTATTAAGTTTTCATTTTTTTGTAATTGTCGTTTTTATTTTTATTTTTGATTATTTTTGATTATTAGTTAACTGCCAAAAAATAATTCACACATGAAGAGGTCGTTCCATCCTGGGGAAGAAATGAAGGAATGAAAGTTTTCGGTGTACTCACTGAGGTGGAAACACTCGCTCAAGTCGTCAAACATTGATTAATGAAGGGAATGACAGATCCCAACATACAGTTGGAAGTAAACTCCCTTGAAAAGGTGCCAAGGTACTTTAAATCTTTGCTTATTGGGTGGAAATCCCTGAACATGTTGCTTTTGAACACAGACCTGTATTTTACTGAAGTGCTGCTGAAACCTATGCAGCCTTTGGGGGTAAAGCCCTGAACTCATTGGTTTCACAGTAGAAATTGTTGAGGAGTGGGTTACAACATATTTCTTTATCTCTTTATATCCAGTTCATAACATGGCTGTAACACTACTCCAGCTTCAAGCTGTCATGGCACGTTGGTCTAAAATAATCTTTTAAATCTTCTAATTAAATCATCTCTTATCAGGATGAAGATAAAATGTTGAATTTAAAATACATCAGAATCAAGGAGACACAGTCAGATGAATAGTAGTCAGCAAACAGAGAGACTTTTATTGCATTCACAAGTGCATGTGAAGGAAGGTTTTGGTGCTGAAGTTGAGCTTGTGTTCTCGGTTGTGTCCCTCTGTGTTGTGTTTGCTTTGTGGGACAGATTATGTGGTGGTGACAGAGGAGGACACCAACTTGCCGTCCTTAATTTCCTCTGTGACCACTACAACCTTTGTTTTGGTGGAGGTTGTTGAGGAACCACTGAAACTGTGAAAAGAAAGAGAAACACAGTAGTGCCATTAAAACCATTGGTTCAAATTCCAGAGTTGAAGGTGAAAGACAGAATTTCCAAGCAGTATTTTTACCGCATCTCTTTTTTCCTCACCTGCTCTCTCCATCCATCAGCCTCTTGTATTCTGCAATTTCCATCTCCAGCCGTGTCTTGATGTCGAGCAGGATGTTGTACTCTTGGTTCTGGCGCTCCATGTCGGCACGCAGCTGCATCAGCTGTTCTTCCAGGCTCGTCACCTGTATCTGGAGGCTTTGGAGCTGCATGGAGTAACGACACTCTGTGTCTGACAACGTTCCTTCCAGTGCCGCTTTCTGTGGGAGGAAAGAGAGGAGAAGAAGGATGAAACAAGGGGGGGAAATTAATAAACTGGAAAAATGTTGTGAGTGGCACAAGGAGAGAAAGTGTTTGTAAGGCAAGTGTAGAGATTTGGTTCAGATCCCTTTTTATTTACCATGCTAAGTTGAGACTGCAGCTCGATCTCCAGGTTCTGCATTGTGCGACGGAGGTCAGAGATTTCTGTCTTGGTCGTTTGGAGAACTTCTGTCTTGACTGCCACCTCCTTGCTCAGCGACTCTGACTGTGGTAAAGTAAGAACATTAGTATCATATACTACTACATACCCTAGATCAAAATTGTTCCCCCAGGGTTTTGGCCCTGTCTTACCTGTGTCTGGAACCAGGCTTCAAGTTCTCTCTGGTTCTTAGCAGCCACACCTTCATACTGCTCACGGATCTCAGCCATTATGGCGCTCAGGTCTGTCTGATTTTTTGCGTCCACCTCCACGTTGATCTGTCCAGTCATCTGGTTGCGCATGGCGGCCAATTCCTGGTGAATAAACAGTTTGTCAAGAGGTGGATAGATTTTGTTCCTACATTCAAAGAATTACAAAGCACATTCACTTAGATGCTCTGCGTCTGGGACCCACCTCCTCGTGGTTCTTCTTGAGGAAGATCAGCTCCTCCCTGAGGCCTTCGATCTGCATCTCCAGGTCTGATCTGGCCAGTGTCAGCTCATCCAACAGTCTCTTCAGACCGGCGATATCTGCCTCCACTGATTGACGCATGGCAAGCTCATTCTCATACCTGTGAGGCAGCAAGAGAGCAGACATTTGCACCTCAACATCAATGTATGCATTCTTAATAAAAGCAGGACACGTTGATTCACAGATTTTAGAAGCTTTTTGTCTCTCAACTTGTTGCTTACTTGGTTCTGAAGTCGTCTGCTGCCAGTTTTGCATTGTCAATAGCCAGATAGATCCCTCCATTGACACTGGTGGCCAATTGGATCTGTGTAACAAAGAAATCTTTTTTTCAACACATCACAGTAGCATTGCATGTAACATGAGATCAGTCTTTCACAATTATTGTAGAAAAAGTCATGCAGTGTCCCTCCAGTGTATAAACCTACACATATGGGAGCTGCTTCACATGATAAATGACATTCAAGGTTCAGAGGTCATGTGACATACCTTTCCCTGCAGGTCAGCAATGGTGGCCTCAAAAGCAGAATAGTCACGGGCATTGGGGGCGGTTTTGCTCTCCAAGAACTGGCGGATCTTCAGCTCCAGCTCAGCGTTGGCCTTCTCAAGGCTTCGCACCTTCTCCAGGTAGTTGGCCAGACGGTCGTTCAGGTTCTGCATGGTGGCCTTCTCGTTGGCCGAGACCTGCAGGTCCATGCCATCACCTCCACCAAACCCTGCACCACCTCCCATGCCATAACTGAAACTACTGCCTCCAATACGTCCACCACTTCCATAACTGCTTGTGGAGATTCTAGCTCCATGGCCACCTGCACCGCCAAACACACTATGGGAATATGACTTCCGTACGGTTCCACCTCCACTAAGACTTCCACCTCCACTAATGCTTCCACCTCCAAAACGCCCGGTCATCATTGTTGCAGTTGATAGTGTGAAGAGTGCTCAGGAGGTCTGCCTACCCTGGAGAGGAGATGGACTGAGATGAAGAGCTCTGCCTCTGCCCCCTTTTTATCCTGCACGGGGCTGCTGCTGCGTCTAATGTGGGTGGGGGCATGCAGGGCTGAAGGGAGGAGCGTTAGCTAATAATGGGTGTTCAGCCCATCCCATCATACACACCCTTCAAGTTCATTTTGTGCAACGAGCGGGAGAAGAAAGTGAGATTAGTTTTAATCCTGTTTTCTTTTATTTCTCCAAACCACACTGTCATGCCTGTTGCATGTTTTACCTCAGGTAAGTTATTCAGTCAAATCCAGCAAGTTTGAAAAGTGTGACAGAGCTCTTACAGGCGATGTGTCTGTTGATTTTGTTCCATAAATCTTGAGCAAGACTGCCATACTGGCCAAACCTGTTACAATTCTAAGCCTACAATCATTACAAATTCTATAGGGTTCAATAAAGAATTTTTTTTAAACTTGATTCTCAGCCAGCTCATATCCTCTCACACACCTTTGTCTTTGTTCTCTGAACTATCTCACCCAAGGTATAATTAGTATTATTATTATTTTAAGTACTATTCACAGTTTCTATTCATTTTCCAGTCTTTCCACACACTTTCTCTTTTTGCTTCACATTAGCCTGAAGCATTCCCAGCTAGAAGTAGTTTTAAAGATGCTCATGAGGCCATGTTGAGACCTGACCTCATTCAAGACTGGGCACAGGAGTGTCGGAAAGCTGCAGGTGTGCCTGCATGTTTTCTTCCTTTTTCTTGGCACCGCACTTTGGTATGTGCATCATGCCCAAACAAGAAACAGCTCTTCCTTGCGTGCTCCTTTCCATGTCGCCACACTCATTTCTTTTGTAGAGTTTTATTGGATTTAAAAAAAAGAAACATGCAGGTGATTAAATCTTTGGCTTGTTTTATTTTAAGAATATTGTTTGTATTATTACTGACTTTTTTTTGTGATTGAATGTAACAAAGAGTTGTTTTACCTGTCACTAACAAATGACTTCAGCAGACTTTCCTCATGCACAGCTCAAAGTAATAAAAAGCAGATCTTGTTTTCACTGCTGCTTTTGACGGTTGCACACTCATCCCATGCATGTGCTACAGCCATAAATTATGTGCAAAATACTGATTAGTTTGAAACCCCAATAATATGAGGGAGACATTTTTGTTTCTCAGGGAGAAAGTATTTTCACACCAACACACCAACCACCAACACACTTTAGGTAAAGTACAGCTCTGCAAAGCTTATTGCACTCGGTTAAGAATTTCACTGCTCCATGCTTGCTCTTTTTTGATTTATGAAAAAAACAAGTCAGCGAAAATTAGGAAAAAAACATTTGTAGTTTCATACATTCCACTTGCAGTCTCACTTTCTAAATGGATATCCTATGCACAACCAAGCGTTGGTGTAAATGTTAGTGCACGACACAGGCTGTGCACATACTTACAATGATGCAATCCCTCTGGTAGTATAACACTGGGGTGTGGCACTGGAGGTGAAGTTTAAACAAATTAACACATCAGTACAAAATGTTCTGTTTGATTTACTTTATGTAAAGTTTACAATGTGTATTAACAGACCAGTTGCTCATGATATATGTGAACTTGTGAGAGTTTTGACTTTGTGCTTAGGATGTTTGTTCCCATGTGGCATGTGGTAACCGTCACCATTAAACTGCCAGCCTGCCATGATTTCTACAGACTGATGAGGTTTTCTCATATTTATTGCAAAAAAAAAATATTCAGAGCTCATAATAACGTTGAATAACTCTTAAAATAACATACAATCTATGACAAGAACATTTATCACAGGTATAGAACATTTTCAGAAATGAGGTAATGCTCAACTGAGCCAGTTTTCCTCAGGCTCAAGGCAACGGTTGTGATCCCACAGATGTCACATGCGATCAGGTGGCTTTCTCACACGGTGGTGATGGTGGAGAGTGTGATGAAAGTTTCATAAACTGAAACTTTTTAAAAGACATTTGCTTCCCTTTTCTGAAACTGAATCAATGTTGTTGTAAGAAACACTCCAACAATCCAAAACTCAAACAAATCATACAATAATGCTGGACAGTATCTGAATAGATGGAAACCCCTGTCTCTCTGTCTGTCCATCTGTCTGCCTGTCTCAATCTCCAGGGGATGAATCTTTCCAGCTCAAGTGGTACTCAGGCTTTCCCTCTATAGCGCCACCCTGAGGTTGAGGTTTAGAAACATCTTTACATCCTTTGACCACTTACACAGCTGCTGGTCTGTTTTCTGTTGTCAAACATTGGCATCTGTTGGTTTAGTGTGTGTCCTGAACTGGTAGAGGGGTGGGGATTTTGACTCGTCGTTACTCTCTGCTAAAAGAAGTCTTCTCAAGTAGCTACCAACAAATTAAAAGATGATAAAAACACACAAACATATCAGTGAACTAAAGATTACCCAAAAACAATTGAATGGATTTTCGTGAAGCTTGGTAGAGATTTGAATGTTTTTTAAGTTTTATGTTTCTTTAAGAGTGCATTCTGATTTCTTGGAGAATAACTAATCGATGGAGGGGGAGGGAAATCCATGTTTCAGGGAATTATATTTATGAGTGTGTGTAATTTGGTGCAGACCAAAATCAAATAATCAATCAAATTTGTATAGATCATATTCACAAATCACAATTTGTCTCATGGGGCTAAAGAAGGTGTGACATCCTCTGTCATTAACCCTCAACAAAAAAATCTATTAACAGGGGAAAAATTTAGTATTGTTGTGATCACAGTCGAGGATCAGCCGCCACCACGATCATGATCCACCACCACTTTTAAAACCGATTGAGGGAATCAAACTGTGGTTTCTTTGAGGGAGTGTTGGGCCTTGGCAGAGGTATTCACGGTCTGCCCTTCTAGTTTGCCAAGTATTTAGCCTTTAAATGTCACATACATTTATGACCCTTAAGAAGCTTTTCAACTTATACATTTATCATTATTGTAGTACAGATACAGTATTTTATTTGCTCCTGCAAACTAAATGGCATTTACTCTTTTAAAAAATCCCAGAAAGGTGCTCTGAGGCAGCTGTAAGGTGAGCAGCCAGCGGATGAGACTATGGTTGTGTTGATGAGCTGCTGAAGAATTGCATTTGCAAATAAAACGGACCAAAAGTGCAAATGCAGTTGTGCATTGTGTATTTATATATAAATGTACCATTTTATTTTGTGAGGTATAACACAAAATCATTCATGTACATTTTTTAATGTAGGTTTAATCTCTGTCAATGTGCCTCTTAACATCTTTACATTTCACAGATACATCTAAAGTAGTAAGAAAAGCAGAAGGAACATTTGCATATTTAGTTTTAATACAACGTTGTGCAACAAATTGACACAATGGACACACTTGTTTTGACAAAAGAGTACAGAGCTGTGGTGTCATGTTAGATGAATGATTAATGAGAATGGTATGCTTGGCAGTGCAAGGCAAGGTGTGGCCTTGGTTTCTGTGTTTTGCAAAGTATGAATGAGGTATTCATGGTTGGAATCAAGATACTCCTGCGAACTGGAACACGCTCCATCTGCATTCATCTGCATTCAGCTTTTACAACATTTTAAAATCCAATCAAATAAACAGTTTATTATTGCAATGTTATTTTCTTCAATAGCAATAGAACTCTACCGCTCAGTAGAGCACATACCTCCACCAAAATCGAGCTGCACCATATTTCATCAGTTCCTGAAATATGCCTGATTTTCTTCATCAAGATCAATTAATTATCCCTGTGCAAAGTACTGAAAATGTCAAGGAAAAACTTTCCTGGAAGGTTTGAGTAAGCAAGAAAAAAAGAATCTGGATCCGTCTCCTGATCTGGCTCAACATCGGAATCGAATGAGTTACATGCTATAACAGACAGACTATTGCCTTACCTCATGGATATAATGTTCATGCGTTGCACAAGCATGGTGACAGTTTAGTATGATTGGTTTCAATGTTTAACCTCATATTTTTGGAACGTTTCATGCTCTACCGTGTTTGTTGTTTCAAACCACAATTAAAAGTTTTCAACTTTCACTAAAAAGCAAAAACCGAACTTGAAAGAAATGATATTTCACCATATCTCCCAGCCCTGCTCAGAACTCACTGCAGATTGATTCCTGCCCTGTGGTATCTGTTGAACTTGCAAAAACCATATCAATAATTCTTTTTGACAGGTTTACTGTGTCACATACTCCGAGCACTTTTCTTCTGTGGGAAGGTCTCCTCAGAATGAAAAAGCTCCATTAAAGTGTGAGTATGGAACAGTATGTTCAAAATGCAGTGTGACCTGAGGAATAGCAGTGCTGATACCTTTGTGTGTGACTGTCGTGTACGAGACAGCTCAAACCAATATCTCACTGTCGATCTAGTGTACAGGTAGCGTGCCCCGTGGTTACTCATGAACAGATTAACAATGCTCCTCTGCCTTTGTGTTTTGTCATTCTACCACAGGCCCAGGCTGGTTTCTGCTGTATCAGGCTGTGCCCTGCAGGGACAAGACACACCCTGAGCTGAGGAATAATTCATGCATCAACAAAATTGTCAGGTTGAGGTGGTTTGAAAGGTCTGGAAATTTACTGCAGATGATTCTGGACTCAGAGCTGAGCAGAGCGTCTCCTCTCTCATTAATGTGTGCGATATTATTAAATCAGCAGTTTTATTTTCTCTGCTGCGAGTTGACTTGCTGAGCTTAATGAAGTGTCCATGTGCACACAATTAAACACTGCCTGTGGTTTGGTCATAATGAAGCAAACTGCTCTCTGCTGAGGAGAAACCCACACACACGATGTAGAATGACCAACTGTGTTTTCTCTCCCTGTGAGGTAGACCATCCATCCGTCCATTATCAATAACACTCATTCTTTGACGGTTGCATTGGGGGGGGCTGCATATATCCCAGCTGATGTTTGGTGAGAGGTGTGGTTCACCCTGCATACAGCCAAAACAACAAATGCCAGGGGAGCGCTGGCCCCTCTGCTGTCAGTAGTCTCAAAAATAGGTCACTCACTAACGATACTAACAAGAAATATAAAACATTTGCTGAGAATTTCTATTTTCTAAGCTTTTTTAAAGAGCACAATGTGTTTGAACATGGAACTATTTTCAGAATATCATGTGTGGCTTCGCTCAAAGCTATAGAGCTAAGAGTAAACAAGGAGTGACTTAAATGTGCATCTTACTGAATTAGGAATTCTGCACGGAGGTTTTACATATTATTGGCTCTTCTGTGTAAACTGTGGCCCCTTTATGGCCCCTGATTTCGAAAAAGAAGTGAAGAAGGGTAAATTTGATTTTAGAATTTTTGTCTTAAAATAAAATTGTCTACACTGAAAAATAAAATTATTGGACGAACTTAAAAAAAATATATTAAAACAGACAGATTAATTCAATTTCCTTAACTTATGTTAACACAATTGCTAACTTTGCTTAAACCTTTGTTTGTGTGTTACCAATTTATGTTCATTTTGAGTTGGTAATACATTTTTTATGTTTCAGTGATATTAGGCATGATGGTGCACATGTTTTTTTTTTCTTTTTAGTTGTGCAGAGTCAATTTAAATCTTTCAGGTGAAGAAAGTGAGGCAAATGAATCACGTCCTCTGTGTCCAAACATGAAAAAGCATGAATCACTAATATTTAATAGCAACGATGATAAACTGCAGTAACGTGTGAATACAGTGGAGCACAAAAGCCACAAAAGATTGAAAGTCTTAACTGTTCGAGTGACCAACACATCAACCTGTCAGACTGCTGAACATGTGATGTGCAGATTACCTCAGATCAAGTCTCTGCTTGATTCAGCTTCACCTACTGGAAGTGAAGAATCTGTCTGTGACTCAGAGGGACTGACCTCACTCAACCAAATGTTCAGATCCATGTTTTTGGAAGAGTTGGATAACGATGAACTCTTTACATTTACAGCAGGACACATTCTGAAGCATAATGTCCTGATTTTCTTTTCTGTGTTTCTGCACTAATCACATCCAGTGCAGCAGTTTAGTTGCTCTCTTTTCAGAAAGAAATACAAAGGTGACATCTGGTGGTCATGAGAGAAATTACACTCAAAACACCACTTCGCATACCCCTATTACCTATACCTCTACCCATACCTATACCCATACCTCCCATGAAAAAAAAAATCATCCTTGTCTTTCAGTTACCTTAATTGGACTATGCAAGGTACACTGACTAAGGTACATCTACGATCAAACTAAAACAATATTCAAATGAATCTTGTAAAACACACTTGTGATTGAAAATACAGATCTTTCTTTGTTCTCTGATTTTTATTCATTGTTTTGGTGTCATAATAATCAGAGCGAGCATCTGCCAAGGCAAGATATTCACCAGCTGCAACCCCACTGTAAGATACAATCAAAAGAAATGAGAGATAACGCTCTGACAATTCCCCCTGAAGTTACATGAATTAACTCTTGTATGTCCTTTTTCAAGCAGATATGTTATAGGGTTGTTAATGATTACGGGTCGAATGGTAAAAAAAAAGTAAGGTCAGTTTCAGAGGTTTCACTGAATGTCTTCCACTTGGGTGTCGACGGAGGAGGACACCACCTTTCCATCAACAATCTCCTCCACAATGGTCTTCACTCTCCTCTCGATGTGGGGTTTATGCTCTGTGGAGGTGGGGGACAAACACAAACAGACACATGATGACAACATGTTACCACGTCTCAGAAAGTGTGTTGGAAAGCAGGTTTGGACTCCACTTACCCTCCACCGTCTTGCTGATGATCACAGTCCTATGGGGGAGAGTGAATGTTACATTTAAAACATGTTTCATTGCTCCAACTCGTCAGCCTACAAAAAACACTTCATCTCTCACTTTTTCTCGTACTGCTCTCCCTCCAGCAGCCTCCTGTACTCGGCGATCTCCAGCTCCAGCCTCATCTTGATGTCCAGCAGCAGGTTGTGCTCCGATTGCTGCTGCTCTATGGAGTCTCTCATCCGTTGCAGCTCCTCCTCCAGATAGTTAATGGTCACCTGCAGCTGGCTGAGCTGAATGCTGTATCGACTGTTCACCTCCTCCACATTCTGCTGCATGCACTGAAACTGCAGGGAGATAATGGAAGACTGTCAGCTCCATCAGAAAAAAGAACAGAGGCGGAAATCTTGGTTTCATGTTTCTAGTGTATGTGAATGACACTCTGTCATTTTGTCCAACCTCTGTCAAGGCGCTTTGCCGAGATATATCCAAACTCTGGAAGGTCCTCTTCAGCTCTGCCAGCTGTGTGTAGTATGTCTTCACTTCTGTGGAGGTCGTAGTGATGACCACACTGATACCAGCCATCTTAAACACACACACACACAATAAATACCTTGAAAGTTTTCACCATACTCCCATGGACATTTTCAGGCCCTCCCATCTCACCTTTTCTTCGTACCACTTCTCAACGTCTTGCTTGCTCTTCAACACCACAGTCTCATAGTACTCCCTCATTTCCTCCAGGGCCTTCATCAGATCCATTGAGCCTGAACTGTCCACCTCCACGTTCACATTACCACTCTGCTGGGTCCTCAGCAGACGCATCTCCTGCAGCGTGGAGAAGAACATGCATTTATCACTTCTCTGTCCTCCTGCCCTAAAAGTCATGTCTGTAACCACCACCTGATGGCGCCCTTGCACCTGCAACCCCAACCCACAAGACATTACTGAGCAGGTAAATCCCTCTGAATCCACTGAAGGGTTCTCACCTCCAGGTGGTTGCTCTTGGTATAGGCCAGCTCCTCTGTCATACCCTCTATCTGCATCTCCAGGTCGCTGATGTTCAGAGTCACGCTGTCTCTGATCCCTCTGTAACGTAACAAGTCGGACTCCAACACCATGCGCATGTTCAGCTCCGTCTCGTACCTGCAGAGAGATGTTGGGTGGATGTGCAGTGAGTGGACTGTTGAAGTTGTACCACACATAACAAAACTGATCTGGCCCACATGCCACACATCGCACATCTGGCCCACATTCCGAATGGTATGATGGCAGGACCATAAGTAAGCCACCTCAATGCCACACGTGAACCATATTTTCTATTTGAGCCATAGTCACCATTTACCACACAGGCCACTTCCGGTTCACCTCCAGATAACACTTTGCCCAAAGCACTACACATGATCACATTTGTTTTGGGATATTTGGGCCATATTTGTTCATTTAGACAATGGCCACTTTAGGCTCACATTCATTTCGTCATGGCCACAAAAAGGCCAGATGAGCCACATCATTGGCTGAAGTGGCCCACATCTGTATGCAAACTGTAAAACCTACTTCATTTTAAAGTCGTCAGCAGCCAGCTGAGCGTTGTCAAGCTGCAGGATGACGCTATTATTCTCCAAGCGCCTCCTTACGATCTGAAAGGAGGGGAAATGAAGTGAAGTCATTATTTGCTCGGTATCATCACAGAGTTCACACACAGTTGCTGATCACGCAGTGTTTAGAACATGAGCGAGAGGCGTGCACTCATCCCAACGTGTCGTGGTGCTCGGTGTGAGACGTGCCTGCGCGTTGAGGTCAGTGATGGTGGCGAAGTATCCGGTCAGGTCTCTGGACACGTAGGTTCTCTTCTCATAGAACTCCCTGATCTGCAGCTCCAGCTTCCTGTTGGCCGCCTCCAGGGAGCGCACCTGCACACACAACCAGAACCTGTCAAATGACTCTCTCTCTCAATTGTGCTCAGAATTTGACATACTATGTATCATTATCAATGATCAGTCATTTACTTGGCATACTATCTAACTTAGTGAAGTAAGTACAGCTACAGATTATTATATAATGATTTATATTTGACATCATACGAGGGGTTTTTCATGTCAGTATCACTATATAACTGCAAAGGAACAAATAAGTGTCAAACACACTGTGTGTGTGTGTGTGTGTGTGTGTGTGTGTCATCCTCATCATCCTCATTACCTTATCCAGGTAGATGGCCAGTCGGTCGTTGAGGTTCTGCATGGTCCCCTTCTCATTGCTGATGACTGAAGTCTCGCTGTACGGGGTCATTGACCCGGAGCCGAAGGAGAACTCAGACTGGGAGATGCGGGTCCCGTAACCCCCCGCTCCCCCATACATGCTGGGTGCGCGGTTCAGGATGGACCCACCGGTGGAGATGCGAGTCTGTCCTCCGCGGAGGATCTGCATCCCTCCGCTGTGGCCCAGGGCGCTGGAGGTGGAGATGCTGCGGGAGCTGTAGCTGCTTTGGCCGATGCGGACTGAAGACATGGTGAGAGGTGGATGGTGCAGGTGGAGGCTGCTGGAGAACTGGCAGACTGGTGGAGTTGCTCGGTGCAGACTGCTGGGGCATTTTATAGGAATGGGAATGCGTCAGGTCACAGGCCACAACTATGTGGGGTATGCAGATAATATTTTCAAAAGGAAAAACAGATAAATAGGTGTGAACACAAGCTTTACTGATGCTCTGTAGATGACAAGTGGAATATCTAGTTGAGCAGCCTCAGGGCTGGACAGATGGATATCTAGGTAGGCAAGAGGATGATTGTTTTTTCCTCAAATGTCAATTATAATTAAGACAGCTGCAGCAAGGTGAGCTGAAAAATACTTAACCATTTCATGCACTACCTGGAAGAACTCCTCTAAAGTGGCTTTAGAAGAAATAACAATTCATTCGTTCAGTCAGTCAGTCAGTCATTCAGTCAGTCGGTCAGTCAGTCAGTCAGTCAGCAGTCATTCATTCAGTCAGTCAGTCAGTCAGTCAGTCAGTCA